AATGGCTTGTGTGACAAAAGATCTCAAGCGGTTGAGAGTCAAAACATTTGTAATGTATATGCCTTCTTATAATAGCATTTCCTTCTGGTACCTAGTCCTCCATTTTGAAAGAGTGAGGCTTGGCCCCATAGTCATAATAGTCGACGGTACGTTCACCCCTGGTTGTCTTGATACGAATTTTTATCCCTCTTGTTGTAATGGGCTTGCTGAGAGTAAAAATCTTTCCTCTTACTAAGAGACAGATACGTTTGGTGACTTAGCGAGTAGCTAAATGAGGCAGGAGATGACGCAATGGGTGTCTAAATGGCCAATATCTCCTCAATTGGTAGAACTTAACTTCCACTTCCCTTTTGTTGATAGGGGTTAACCATATGGGGGTTCCTTTGGTATGTCCTTACTTTGGCAGAGGCGTGGCTGTAAGCTTGTGCCATCACCTCATAGTAAGTCTTCCAAGTGTTGGCATTGATCATGTACTTGAAGAAACAATCATGTAGGCCTGCCATGAAGGCCTTGAGGGCGGTCTTGTCATTTGCCTCAGCGCAGCGAGAATACTCATGGCTGAAGCGACCGGCATACTCTCGTAGTGACTCGTCCGGCTTCTGGCGAATAATGTACAAGTCATCTGCAGAATGCAAGTGATCGGTCTGGAAAATGTGTTGAGAGACAAACAATTTCCTTAATTCCTCAAATGAGTCTACTGTCTCAGGTGGAAGACTGCAATACCAGTTTAGAGCTCCGTCAAAGAGGGTGGAGGGGAAGAGAAGACATCGCTCTTCGTCGGTGTGTATCCGATATGCCATGGTGGACTCAAAGAGATTAAAGTGTTCAATTGGGTCCTCCCTTCCAGTATAGAGTTGTAAACCAAGCTTTTGTTTTGTCTTCGCTTGAAGGGATGTGTCGAGAATCCTTCTCGTGAGAGGGTCAGGCCTAGGTTGGTTCTAGTCAGGCATCTCGGCCTGACGTTCGGCCTTCAACTTGTTTACTTTCTTAAGGAGCTGTAGGATAAGGGGGTCCTGAACGAAGTCATGTACCATTGGAATTTTCTTTCGTAAGTCTCCATCGTCTCTTGGAAGTAAGAAGTTTTGAGTAAGGGCGTGTGGTTTTTTCTTGGACTCGTCGTACTGACTTTTAGGGCAAGTTTGTTGGAATACCTTAGAGTCCCCCGTACCTTTATGTTCCTCTGGGACATGTCGTTCCTTCCCTAGATTGGCAGCTAACCAGGGTCGTGTAAGGGGACCGAGTATTTCAGAAACCCTTGGGTCATTGATCTTCGAGCATATGTGGAGAAGATTCTCTCGACGTTGCTTTAGGAAGTCTCGGCAGTCACGATAAAAGCTTTCGATCCTTCCAACCCTTCTACAATGAAGTGTTTTCCTCCACTTCTTCTATTTCGGGTCGAAGCATCTGGGTTAAGAGAAGTCTCATGTTGATCAATATTTTGATGATTAGCTCGCTCCTCATCAGGGATACCCATGTCGAAAGGAGGTGACCCTCCGTGTTAGGGGGCACCCAGATGATGGTTGATGTCTACAGGGGCAACGAGCTCGCGTGTTTGAGTACGCCTAATTTCGTGAAGCGTCTCAAAAAGCTTCTCATACTGCTCCTGAAAGACCTCATTCTTCATTGCTATCTTATTGTTCTGAGCTTCTAGTTCATCGACTTTAGCTTGAAGAGCAACCATCTTTCCTTCCTTCTTTCATTGCTTCGCACTAGGTGCTAAAGGGGTGTCATTCTGTGTGTTGTGGCTTCCTTCACTCCCCATGTTGGAGAGGGATGCCTGGTCAAAAAAGAGTGTACGAATGGTGGAAACCAGCTTGGCAAAGCTGAAGAGAATGGGAAAAAGTGTCGTTCCCACAGACGGCGCCAAATGTTGATGCACAAAATCAGCGAGGACTTTGGTACAACAGAAAATGTTAAGTTTGTGACCTTCGCTAAATTGCTCCCGTCACTAGTGTGGATAAATAAGTAAATGGATAGGGACAGGGAGGCAAACACAAGATGTACGTGGTTCACCCAGATTGGTTACGTCCACAAAGTAGAGGAGTTCTCATTAATTGTGAAGGGTTTACACAAATACATAGGTTCAAGCTCTCATTTAGTGAGTACTAGTGAATGATTTAGTACAAATGACATTAAGAAATATTGTGAGATAATGATCTATATTTATAGAAGAGAGTTTCTAGTTTCATTTCGACATTGACACGTGTCGTGTTGTGATTGGCGTCTGATGTTGACACGTATCGCGCTATGATTGGCTTCTGATGTCGACACGTGTCGCGCTGTGATTGGCTTCCTGGTTGGAGGGAAACTCTTTTGGGTTCTTGACGGTATAACGTTGATCGGTACTCGGTAGTTTCGGGATTGGTCAAGTATGGTACAAACAATAGTCTAGTGGTATTCCTTTTCACTTGTAAGTGAGAGGTCTTAGGTTCGATTCTTGTCATAGGCGAATGAGAACCACATTATTGCAAACTCATTTTGAGGCTTAGCCCACTTCCCCACCACTTAGTGTAGATAAAATTGTTAATTCAAAAAAAAGAAAAGATTTTTAAGTGAAAAAACAAATATGGAGTGTATTAAGTATATAGGTTAAATTAAACAATATGTGAGCTGTTAGTACAGCAACCCTTAAAATAAGGTTTTCTTTTTTTTTTTTTGGTCAACCAATTATTAGCTTACTGGATTTCATTGGTGCAACCATGGATCTCACATGGACACAGAGGTGATGTTATTGGATCGTATATTGGGCTATGTGGAGGTTTTAAGGGCCTGGTATTCAACAATTAAGTGGATAAAAAGCCCAAAGAGTGTGCTTCAAAGTTTGTTCTTCACCTTATATTTTCGGTTCTTCTCCTTCAAATGGGAGTTGAAGTGAATAAGAAATGAGACCAAGAAATATAGAACAGTTACAAATACATTAATTATGATGCAATGAGAAAATCATGAAAACTACATTTCAAAACTCCACAAAAACAACCTAAAAATAAATCTTTTGTTTCTGTAATCTTCCTAAAGAATAGTAATTACAAAAGACATCGTAAAACTATAATTTTTTTTTACAAAACACTTCAAAAACTTAATCGAAGAAAAAAGAAGTACTCCTCATTTTATTCACATGTCATGCTCTTAATTGATTATTAGTTATGAAATTCTTCTGGTACGATTCCTTCATTACAAAGCCCGTAAGACTTTTTTCTTCTAAATTATTGATCTGAAGTGTTTTTTTTTTCCTTTTTTTTTTTTTTGTTTTTCTAAAGCATGACGTTATCAAAGACTTGTATGTGGAAAACACTTGCAAAAGTCCAAAAATTAATTTGTTGTTGTGACTAAGTGAAGACAAAAACCCATATGTAAGGTATATCTCTCACCTATGAATTAATAGAACATAAATACATCTAGTTAGTTTTTTCTCTCTGTCAATAGCGATAGAAAGGGGAAATCCAACACCAAATCAATATGCATTTTATACATTCTATTACAAATATATATTACGAGAAATTAAGTTATTGTATATAATAAATATGTGGATGATCAGCCATTTAGTACTACGTATTAGGTTCGATTCTTGCCAAAAATGAATTTGAACCACATTATGCTCATTGTGAGGCTTAGCCAATTCTTAACATCCATTTAGTGTAAACATCGTCATGTGGTGGGTAATGATTCAAGTTTTAACCCAAGTAATTATCTTTTTGTTTCCTCCTAATTAATGTGATTAAGGTATGTGATTAGGCTTATAAAAAAATTGGCATGCGATTTGGGTTCCAATCCCAATATTGATCTTGGAAGCATAGTGGGTTGCTGTCCTCGTAGAAGTAGACTAATGACTACACCAAATGCACTCAACGTCTACGCAAGGCAGGTAGCCACTGTCCACATCTGAAACCAGGAACAAAACTTTGCACATGAGCAAAAGAGCTTGTGGATGCATTGTTCTTCAGCCTTGGAAACACTACCACAAAAAACGTTTCAAATTTCTTCATACCCATAAAAATTAGAAGAAAATATATGGCGTTTTACCGGTTAGACTTTGATTTTTGTATCTTTAAACAAATATCTAGCGGTTAAACACCTATAATATTATATATTTCGGGGTACTATAAAAAATCCAAAAAAGAAACAAAAGCAACTTGCACAACGCGAGAATAACGCTATCGTGATCTTTTGTTGATACATCGTTCTTCATAAAATTTGAAAATCCCCATCTTCCGTATGCTCTTCTTTTTACTGTCACAAATTGCACCAAATAAGAATATATGGTGGATACTGGATAGAGGAAAGTGGTGGGGAGAGTTAGGAAACTAGTTTTCCCTTTTTCCTCAATTTCTTCGAAAAAAAATAAAGAAAAATGTTGAAGAGACTTTTTATGGACTTTTGTTATTTTTTTTTGTAAAATATTTTATAATATTGACACAAAAATTAACGTTAAACTGTAAATAATTTCATATTTGAGAGAGTTTCCTTAACATTTCAAAATAAAAATTAGAAGAAAAATCAAAGAAAGGCATCTGATCTGGGTCGTTGTTACATCTAAAAGGAAATGAAGCATTTCCGGATCTCTTCCTTCTAATCCACAAAGTTCGGAGATCATGACCATTAAAATTTGATCTAATTGTTAAAATTATTATAACTTTTAAAGTAAATTTCTGTTTGAAGCTGTTTGATCAAATTTCAATGGTCCGAATCTTCGAACTTTGTGGATTAGGAGAAAGGCATCAAGGGTACATGGGACCCACCAATGCGTTCTTAAAAGTATACACGATAAAACTACCCACTCCCATCATTTTGTATTCTCTTCGTCCTCCCCCTTCCACCCTGGCAGTAATCGTCCGTACCCTGTCCCCCTCGCTCCTCTCCTTTACCGGCTACCTGCTCAGCCTGTCCCACACGTGTGCAGCCCCTCCTCCACTCTCCACCCCTTCCATTTGACTGTCCCACACGTGCCACCTCTCTCCCTCCCCCTCCTCTCTTTGGTGCAACAAATAAAAGTTCGATACTTTCTCTCTCTTGGAGTAGTTTTTTACATGGTTTTGGGTTTTCTTGCACCCCCGCTCTCTCTCTAACTTTCTCTCTCTAGAACTACATCTTTTCTCTGTGTTTTTGTGTGATTGAAAGCATCAGAATCTGGCCTGAGAAAACTCAAATAATAATATCTCCTTATCCGAAAAAATACCGATGAGGATCCGGAAACGACAGGTGCCCTTCCCTCTGTCGTCTCTTTCTCCGGTGCCTTTATCAGATCCCCTCCTCCACGACCTCAACTACTCACCACCACCCGTGGTGCAACTCAACCACCGCAATGATCCTCCAAATCCCTCCAACCCAGTACAGAATACTGCCCATGTGGGCCATCCCCATTCTCAGCCGTCCGATCAACGCGTCTCGCCGATCGGACGAGCAGGCAAAGGTTGGGGTTTTGTTGATGCTGCTGGAGATAATAAGCACAAGGAGAACAAGCAAGATTGTGGTTTGGTTAGTGAAATTTAATGCTCACAACTCACAACCCTTTTGTTGGGTTTTTTTTTTTTTTTTTTGTTAATTACATGGTGGTGCACTTTTGTTTGTGTTGATTAATTTCATGGTTCTTTCAATTTGCACCCATCATTGGGGTTTCAATACAAGGCCACATATATGTATATACATATATAATACATATAATACCTGGTGTAATTTTGCAGGAGCCATTGATATTGAAAGGGGAAGAAGATGAGAGAGAATCAAGAGAGGGAGGAGATCAGAAGGGAAATGAGGATGATGAAATCAGGTAACTAAGATAGATGGAGAAAATAAATAAAGTTATCAATTCTTTCAATATTTCATGTAATCTCTTCTCATCTTTCATGAAATTTCTTGTAGTAAAAAAGGTCAATAGAAAGGAGACTTGATTTATTTACCTACCCACCTTATTAAAAGTAAAAATAAAAGGAGTGAAAAAGAGAAGAAAATATTTTAGTGTAAGTGGAAATACTGTTTTTATATCAGCTTTGGCTAGCCACCAATACCTTCCCATCTAATCTAATCCTTTAGCTAGCTGCTCCTTTTTATTTATTTTGTTTTATTTCCTTCCTCCTTATATTTGGCCTAACAAATGTGCCCATGCGGTGCACGTTAGCATAGGTTAATATAATATGGTCCCCGACACCGTAAACTCTAACTATATATATACATGTTGCACTTCTTATTTTCTGGGTTACTTTTTCCTTTTTTTCACCTGGACTAGAATTTGATCTACGTATCGTGTGTGGTTGTTGGTCCATCGATCTTCTGGGTGTGGTTGTTTCTTTTAGGGAGGAAAGCATATTGGTTGCAGAAACATTAATCGGGTTTGCTTCGGGGTCGTCTAGTTCTTCTCACCCAGGTGAAATATTCATATTATTTCCATATATATATATTATACCCAAATTATTCAAGAAAATTTAAGTCTCTACCATTTCTTGCTTGCATTGTATCAATTATTGTTATTCATATTGTGACTGTTGGTGGTTTGCATTCGTCTATGTATGTATATGTATATGTATAGCTGCTGGGAGTTGTTTTCAAGGAGAGAGAGCGTTTCCATTGAAGAAGCGAAGAGGGAGCTTCGAGAGAGGAGCGAATAATATCAGACAGACGATAATGGATGATCAGAAAGACAAGAAATCAATGAAAACGAAGACGAACAAGAAAAATGTACCTCGACAGCAACAAGGTGAAGATGATCGTCAGAAGCAAGACGATCATGTCAGTGATGATAATAGAGTCAATAGTGGTGTTAGTGCAACAAGAAAGAGGGCAAGAGGAGGTGCACTCATGGAGGGGTCGCGGTGCAGTCGCGTTAATGGAAGAGGATGGAGGTGTTTCCAACAAACACTTGTTGGGTACTCTCTTTGCGAGCATCACTTGGGCAAGGGTAGGTTGAGGAGCATGAATAGTGTTAGAAGCCGGTCGACGGCAGTGGCAACTAGTACTACTACCACTTCTACTATTACTAGAGCTGCTTCCACTGAGACTGAGTTTAAGCAATTATCAGTATCTAGAATATTATCCTTGGAGTCACCGCCGCTGAAAGAAGACACCAAAGCTGTTCTGCTGCTGGATGATCGTGATATCGGTGAAGGTAAAGGAAATGAAGGTGAAGAGGAAGAGAAGAAGCCATTGCTGGTTACAAAGAAGCGGATGAAGGTTGGGATTGTTAAAGCCCGATCCATGAGCAGCTTGCTAGGTCAAACAAATAGTAGTGCAATTTCAGTAGTGGCTGATGAGGATGAGGATAATAACAAGTAGGTCAAAAGGATATGTGGGCAAATGAATGGGGGATTTTATTCGTTGTAACTCAGAGAGAGAGAGAGAGAGAGAGAGAGAGAGAGAGAGAGAGAGTATTTGAGGTTAATTAATTTAGAAGTGTGAACTTGGTGCAACTAGCTTCAACTTGCAATATGTGAGAGATTCTTATCTATATAAACAGATGCTGGATAAAGTGTTGGATTTATCATTGTCGTCCTCATCTTTAATCTTTGTGTTTTAATTAGTGCTTTTGTTTCGTGAGTGATGGGTTTTATATTAAACAAGTACATGCGATCGGGTCTATTTAATTTTTAATATATTGGCATAAACTATACTTTAACTAAGAATTTTATATAGAATGTAGGAACTACCTCAGGAGAGGACAGAGACCCAGTTGTTACTGTGTTCTTTTCCGAAAGATTTTCCAGTGTGACCATCACCCGAGGTGGTACACCATGTGTCGCTATATAAATAGTGGGTTATGTGTGTTAAAAGGTTAATAACTTAAAAATTAAAATTTTTCACTACTTGCATAAAAACACGTGATGTACCATCTACTCCAAGCTTAAGTATACTGTATTTTATTTTATAGTTGTCTATATATCTCAATTGAACATGATTGTTTTATCAGTTGTGGATATTAATCAGATGGTATATAACACACCAACTTTTTAAACAATAATTCTCCTTAAATTCTACTATTGTATGTGAGACCTAACCATATTAAAAAGTATGTCGGTTTTACATTATTCTCTTTTATATAGAGATTTTAAAATCAAGTTTCTTTTCTAAATAATTAATAACAAGCCACATAAATAACATAATTTATGTTCAAATAACGACTAATACACACACACACAAACGCTTTTCACAAGTTCACATAAATTACTATATATATGAAGAATTCATTATGAGAGGAATGATGTAGACACTCGTTTGTTTATATCTCGAATTAATTCATGAACATATTCAAAGTAAATTGGTCATTAGTAGGAATGATTTGTGGATTAAGAACAGTTAGGTCAAGTCTTCATTAAGCTTTGATTAGGTAATACAAAACTCAAAGAAATATTTACCATGTAATTGTTAAGCCCTAAGGCTTTTTTTTTAATTTTAATTTTTTATAAATTTGTTATTATTAAGGAGAAGAGGAGAGTTTAAAACTATTATCATATTTCAGTCCTCAATTTATTTTAAATTTTCATGTAAAAGCTTGAGTCGATCGTGTATTGTGTCCACGAAAACTTATTGAGATCTATTTAAATCCCCACAATTATTTCAAGACACACGAAAACCACACACCAGTTTAGCCATTGCTTTTCGTTTTTCTTTTTTGTTGCCTAGGTAGTATTTTCATAAGCATGCAAGTGACAATTATTATTGCTCACCCAAAAAAAATTATTGAAGAGGTTGCTTATTCAGACATGGATCATCACCCTTAGACTCGTAAGGTTGACTAATATAATCATAATAAAGTCTTATAATTAATTGACAAAAGAAAAGTCTTACAATTAAACTTAGTTAACGTTAACAGATAGATTACCTCCCATCGCATTTTATGTCGGGGATTAATACTAGTAAAGGATTAGGATAATTTTATCCAATTTAAGCAAATATTTCATAGTTTGATGCCCTGTGTTAATTAAGTTGGGACTCTATATATGCTAATTAATCGTACGTATTTGTGCAAAAAAAAAATTTGGTCAATATTTGTGCAAAGGTAAGAAGTGCTAGCTGTGATATCTTTTTCAGTTTCAACCACATTATTTGAACTTATTTATGCTACTGTTTGCTGAAGTGAAAATATATTGGGTGGAGCTTTTCTTGCTAGCATGGAGAATGTTTTTAATTAAATCCTTTTTGGGCAACGAGGAAAACTTTAATGGAACTCATTAGATTCTTTCTACTCTACGTATTTAGGGGTGGACATTTTAGTAGATCTACTGGCCAACCCATCCGATATGGGTTGGTTTGAGTTTTAAACTTTAACATTTTATTTTTGGGTAAAAATTCGATCCTCGTTTAATAGATGGGTTGAACTGAAGTATTATTCACCCGATTAAAATCGAACCACCCAAATGCCATTTAATTATTTAACATATATATGTACATTAATAGATTTATATATGAAATTTAGTAAATTTTAAATGCACTAGTTTATTAATGCTTGATTTGAATACTTGAAATTTATGTATTAGTAACATTGTATAACAACATCAAATTCACATGATTTAGGCCTAGTTTAACGTCATTTTAATTATTGTCTTTCATACTCATATTAGGAACAAGAAAGAAACCAATTAGTTTTACCCTGTGAAACCTAGCCAATCCAACTTGTCTAAGGGGTGGTTTGGGAGTGATGTGCTTAAAAAAAAGCACCCATGAAAAAAAGCTGTGAGGGTTTTAAGTGTTTGGTAAATTGGAAAAAAATGGCTTATTTTGGAAGCTGCTGTGAGAATAAGCTGAAATCAAAGGAAAAAGTTGAAGCTGCTATTTGCAACTTTGGAAAACTGGTTTTTTTTCAAAGCACACGGAGCTACAGTGCTCCTTTAATGAAAAGACCCACTATCAGACTGCTTTTTTTTTCAAAAGCACTTTTACAAAAAAGTTTACCAAAAACTCTGCTGATTTATTTCACAGCCGCTTATTCTCACAGCAGCTTTTTTTCAAAGCACAGCAATACCAAACCAGCCCTAAGAATGATTTGGGTGGGTAAGGTTGCTAATTTTCTTGAATGACAATGAATTTGAACAACTCCAACCAGAGTTTATTGGGTTAGCTAAAGGATTAGTCTAACGCAAACAACTCACTCAATGCTCACCCCTACAACATACGTTACAGATCTAACGCTAATTATCATTCTATACCTGAGACAGAAAAGTAAGTCAATCACATCCAATGGTTGAAAGACCCGATGCATGAGCATGACATTGTTCATTGTTGTATAAAAAAAAAATTAGAAACTAATGAAAATGACTTGAAAACTTTGAATTTTAAAGAAGTGCTAGCTGCAATATCTTTTTCAGTTTCAACCACATTATTTGAACTTATTTATGCTACTGTTTGCTGAAGTGAAAATATATCGGGTGGAGCTGTTCTTGCTAGCATGGAGAATGTTTTTAATTAAATCCTTTTTGGGCAACGAGGAAAACTTTAATGGAACTCATTAGATTCTTTCTACTCTACATATTTAGGGGTGGACATTTTAGTAGATCTACTGACCAACCCATCCGATATGGGTTGGGTTGAGTTTTAAACTTTAATATTTTATTTTTGGGTAAAAATTCGATCCTCGTTTAATAGATGGGTTGAACTGGGCTGAACTGAAGTATTATTCACCCGATTAAAATCAAACCACCCGAATGCCATTTACTTATTTAACATATATATGTACATTAATAGATTTATACATGAAATTTAGTAAATTTTAAATGCACTAGTTTATTGATGCTTGATTTGAATACTTGAAATTTATGTATTAGTAACATTGTATAACAACATCAAATTCACATGATTGAGGCTTAGTTTAACATCAATTTAATTATTGTCTTTCATACTCATATTAGGAACGAGAAAGAAACCAATCCGTTTTACCCTGTGAAACCCGGCCAATCCAACCTGTCTAAGAATGATTTGGGTGGGTAAGGTTGCTAATTTTCTTGAATGACAATGAATTTGAACAACTCCAACCAGAGTTTATTGGGTTAGCTAAAGGATTAGTCTAACTCAAACAACTCACTCAATGCTCACCCCTACAACATACGTTACAGATCTAACGTTAATTATCATTCTATACCTAAAAACAAAAAAGCAAGTCCATCACATCCAATGGTTGAAAGACCCGATGCATGAGCATGACATTGTTCATTGTTGTATAAAAAAATTAGGACAACTAATGAAAAAGGCTTAAAAACTTTGAGTTTTAATGATAAGGACAAAATAAAGGGTAAAGTGAATAGTACCAGATTTGATTTTTTAGTGTAAAAATATGATTTTTAGTTAAAGTGAATAGTATCACGAGTTTTTTTTTTTAAATCCCAAAAAAGTTCCCCCACCCCCACTCCCCATAATAAAAGTCAACTCTATATATACTTGCAATATCTTTTAAATCACATGTATTTATTTATATTTTAGTGTTTTCCCATAGTATTTATTTAAATTTTAAACGTTTGAGTTTATAGCTTCCCCCGCATGCAAGTTAACTGTCTGTATATTTGTGTCTCCCTTAACAATTCATAATTTTTAGATGAAAGTGAAAAATCAAAAGAAATTTAGCAACAATAGAGAGCGCATCATATAATATATGTTTCACTAAACTTTAGTCAACATCAATACAGAAAAGAGGTCCCAAGTGTTGTAGAAAAGTTTGGTAGCACACATTATATACGAATGAAACCCTTAATTCCGTGGTGGTGGTGTCTTAAACTACTTTTGTAGGACATATATATTCAGACATGAAAGGTACAAGTTATCGCACTTCTATAAAATTATTCATATAAACTTTATATGACTGAAAAGCTAATGGAAGTATACAAGTGGTAAAAAAAAACTTTAGGTATGAAAGTAAGATGACAAAACTAAATATAGTAAAGTGCAAAATTTTGTAAAATTTGAGAGTAATAAAGCAAAATTACCCTAAAAAAATATGACACACACATGGTAAGCATGCATGCGTAAATGGACCACTACTAGATGTACGTGGCAAAAGAGATTCTTGCGCCAAGGATGGAAGAAATTTTTAGTTGTAACGAGAATACAGATGATACATCACGTGTTTTTATGCAAGTGGTGGAACATTTTAATTTTTAAGTTATTAATCTTTTAACACACATAATTCACCATTTATGTAGGGACACGTGGTGTACCACCTCGTGTGACAGTCACATTGAAAAATCTCTTCAAGGATGGAGACCCCATTATCCAGAACCCTAGCAAAAAAAAAAATCCACAAAGAGTTATAGACAAGAACAGAAGATACAAAGACCGATTTTCAAATGAGTGAGATTCAATGTAATATTTAGCTTAGCAGAAATGTTCTCCATGGCAAAAGTTTAAGAAAAACTATTTTGTACAACCAACATACTTTGCTGTATTCTAATAGGAAGTTGGTGAACCTATTGTTTTACGGTAGGTCTCGCATATTAGTTTGTTACTGGAAATGTTCACTAAATCATGCAACAATAGGGTATTTGTGTTACACATGATATTATTACCCTAAGCTAAGTGATGAGAATTTGAACCCGAAACTCAATGAATTGAAGAGAGAGCCCTATCCAATACCAAAAAAAAACTCTTTGCAGAAGAAAGGTACTCGTTGAGCCAGATAAAATTTCGTCACCTAAGGTTTTGCATGACAGGACTTTGTTAGGCAATGTTCATCGGGCAAAGCTCATTGCACAACATTTTCCCCAACAAAAGTTTAAACTCCATCAGGTGAAATTACCAACGATAGTTTTGTCGAGCAAAGTGCATTGACCAACTTGACCCGACGTCAGTTTTTTTGTTGGTCAACGGTGTATTTACAGATAAAAAGAATTGTTTGCCCAACGAAAGTTTAGGCAGTTGTAAAGAGAAAAAAAAAACACAAAATACATGCTCCACGAATACATTGTTCATCGGGTAAACTTTATAATTTTTTTTTTCAAATTTAATTTATTAGATATATAATTTACATTAATTATATTTAATTTTAATAATTAATTGTAATTATATTAATCTTAAAAGATATTACAATATAAAAAAGTTTATTGAATTATATTAAAACTGAAATATTCGTACAATTATATTCAAATTGAAACAAAAAAATATTTTCAGTGGTGCATTGTCTCTCAATCCATGTCAAACTGCTTCAGTCAAGAAGATGTCCATCTCCAAAAATGAAAAGCTCTGAAAATGACTGCAGAGTCAGTATTCCTTTGCACATAATCTGGAGTTGATGGATCAGAAGTTCATCATGAAATGCAAAAATGTATTTTACTCTTTAATTATGAGCTCAAACTGAACCTTTTTTTTTTTTGCTTTTTGTCTACGCACGATTTAGTAATATAGTTTATATTAGGTGAACATATTTTGTGATCCTCGCCATACTATTTTACATATAACCACCAACCATTGCTGAAAATGTAAAGTCTCATATCTGATATATCTGACCAAATAGAAGACAATTTATATTAGTGGTTATACTACTAATTGCATCGAGTCTTTTATCTAAAATTCAATATTTATTAGACGACATACAGTAAAGTCAAGAACAATCGATGGTTCCACCACTAATTGTGTTGATTCCTTTGTATAAAAATTTATACACCTGTCAGATTGTAGTGGTTAACACTAGTACAAAAACATGTTTGCGCGACGGAGCAAATTTCGTCACGCAAAGTATGTTTGTGCGACGCTAAATAGGATGTGTTGTGCAAAGCCCTTTGTGCAATGGAATTTTGTGCGACGAAGACTAGCGTCGCGCAAAACAGCTTTGGAGATGTAGGTGCACCTCCATCGCGCAAAACAGTTTTCCACAACGCTAGTCTTTGTCGCGCAAAATTCCGTTGCGCAAAGGCCGTTTGCACGACGCCTCCTGTGCGTTGCGCAAGAGTTTGGTGCCAAACCAAAGGGGGTGTAGTCAAACTCGGATTTGAGAGGATTTTAAAAGACTTTAAAATTCTAGTGTAGTCAATTAAAAGATTTTAAAGGATTTTAGAATCCATTCAAATCTAGGTGTAGTCAATTAAAGGATTTTAAAATCCATCCAAATCTATGTGTATTAAAAAAATTAAGATTTTGGAGGATTTCAATAAGTTGTGAATTTTGTGGGATTTTAGAGCCAAAAATATATATAACCAAAACTAAAAAGAATCTAACCTCACCCCCTAGGATTTCAACTACACCCCCCCAAGAACACTTTACCCTTTTTTTCCCAACATTGCGCAACATAGGTGCACCTACGTTGCGCAAAACAGCTTTGCGCGATGTAGGTGTAGGTACACATTCGTCGCACAAAACAGCTTTGCACGACGTAGGTGCTGTTGCACAAAGTTTATAATTTATTTAAGCAACATATAAATTTATTTATAATTTGTTGAATTACCAGATTCAAATTGCTGTATTATTTGACAATTCATATAAGTAATAGATTCAATTTGAAAAGCTCAATTTTTACCAAATGCAGAATTTAGATCCATCAAAATGATAGATTCACAAACACTTAGAGTTTATTTATATTTTCATTAAGTATAACATAAGATTTTGTCTCATTCCACTATTGTAAATATTTTAAATTGAAGATCAAATTCATTCATTGTATTCATATAGGATTAAGGAGTGTAGTTATAAAAAAACATCAAAATCGGAGTTAAAATAATCGTTAAATCGTGAATTTTCTTTTATAACCGTCAAAAAGTTTTTTCCCGTTACTTGATATTTGAATGTTTGTTTTTTGTGATTTTTGGCGTATGCAATCTTGAAGCATATACAAACAAGTTTAACGGTTGGATTTTTGAAACTAGTTTAGTAGAATGCGTATCCCATCAAAACAATAGATTCACTAACACTTAAAGAATTTATTTATACTTTCATTAAGTATAACATAAGATTTTGTAGTATCCACTAGTGTAAATATTTAAATTGAAGATCGAGTTCATTCATTGTATTTATATAAGGTCAAGGAGTGTAGTTGTAAAAAAAATCATCAAAATCGGAGTTAAAATAACCATTAAATCGTGAATTTTTGTTTATAATCGTCGAAATTTTTTTTCCCATTACTTGATTTCTGAATGTTTGTTTTTTGCGACTTTTGGCGTATGCGGTCTCGAATCATATACAAACAAGTTGGACGGTTGGATCTTTGAGACTAGTTTTGTAGAATGTGTATTCCATTAAAACAATAGTTTCACTAACACTTAAAAAAGTTTATTTATACTTTCATTAAGTATAACATAAGATTTTGTGGTATCCACTAATGTAAATATTTTAAATCGAAGATTGAGTTCATTCATTGTATTCATATAGGGTTTAAGAGTGTAGCTGTAAAAAATCATCAAAATCGGAGTTAAAATAACCGTTAAATCGTGATTTTTTGTTTATAATCGTTGAAAAGTTTTGTCCCATTACTTGATCTCTGAATGTTTGTTTTTTGCGATTTTTGGCTTATACGATCTCAAAGTATATATAAACAAGTTTGACGGTTGAAATTTTGAAACTAGTTTTGTAGAATGTGTATCTCATTAAGTTGAATGGTATATATATTTATTAAGTAGCTTTAAATTTATTTATTTTGTACGTATAACACTTAAGAAATTGAATGATATATATATTTATTAAGTAGCTTTAAATTTATTATTATAGTTCGGATCGAATTTTTGTTACAAAAATATATTATTGTGGAGTAAAGTTAAAATTTTAATAAATTTTATAATAATTAAAAAATATATAATTTGTGTGATGCCGACAATAGATTCGTTACGCAAAAACACTTTAAGCGACGTATAATGTATACATGCGTCACGCAAAGTCAACCAAATTATACCGGTGCAATTGCAAAAAATAGGCGGTCTTTTTAAATTTTCCCAAACAAAATAGGTCTCTCTTCCCTCTTTCTGACTCGGTCCGTCTCTTCCCTCTCGCTCATCTCTCTCTCACTCCGTCTCTTCCCTCTCTCCCTCTCTCTCAATAACTAGTAATTCCCTCTCCCTCTCTCTCTCTCTCTCTCTCTCTCGCGCTCGTAGGTTAGGTAAGGTTCGGAAAGAGATCAATGAATTCAATTTAGGGTTTTGTGATAATCTAACTCATAAAGTTTGCATCTTGATAAAGTTAATCGCCTTCTCTGTTACTTGGTTCTGAATCTGAGCTTGGTAATTGGTTAATTGATTGTAGATTTGTGAGCTCTGTCAAATGGAGAAGGATCATAAGGTTGCATCGGAAAAAGACCCCAAGATCGATTTGTTCGAAGACGACCACGAGTTCGAGGAATTCAACATCAATGAAGGTAATTTTTGGAAACCTAATCTTGTTTATCATCTGCAATTACATATTTTGTTATTTGTTAGTAGGTATGCAGCTATTTTCTCTGTAATTGTTTCCAATTGTTTCATAGAATTGAAGTTGGTTTTGTTTCGATTTACTTGCTATTGTTTTTAAACTAATAAAATTGTCCCGCTAGCTTGCGAAACGGATTCGTTGTGAGGAGCGTGTAATTCATATGTCCTAGCATTATCTTAGCATATAGTCCATCTAATCTGGTTTTTGAAGATAACGATGATTGCGTAATAAGATGCGAGAAGAATTGTATGAAATATCCAAGCCTGTAAATTGATTTTGGCATCAGAGCACCAATGCCCTGCAATGATGCAAAGGAGGTTAATTGTTGAGATAGATGGAATCATGCAAAGGAGGTTAAACAAAATGGAAATATCAGTGAATAGGACTGATACCAATATGGACTACCCATTTCAATTTTTGTGCTTTCTTAAATTGCATACCAAAGTAGTATTTTATATATTGCTTTCAGGAAGTATGGTTTGAGCTTTGTACTTTGTGTGAACGCATTGATAGGACAACCTCATTTCAATTAAGTAAGGTAAAATGCTTATATATTGCATTCTTGGTATATATGAATAAGTGTCTGCTATAGGAACTAACTCAATTTGATGCTGTCATAGATTTACGGCTTGTTAACTGTTTGATGTTATCTTTTCCAGATTGAAGATGGGGACATCATATGCTTTCAGAAATCTACTTCACTTGGAAGTGAAGGAGAACTCAAATATTCCAATGTCCCTTCATTTCTGGTAGATGGTTATTGTGGTAGTTAATGCTACATAGAGCATAAGTTCTGCGTTCAAGTGTCTCTCACTGAGCTTTCATTCTTGGTATTATTTAAGACAAGGTTGAAAAAAGAACAAGAGGAGGAGGACAAAAAGAGATACAAGGCACAAGCTCACCTTTATACAACTATTAAGGTGAAGAGTTTCTCTGTCCCCATTTTCACCATTCCTTTTTTCACAAGTGCTAGTACGTGTATTCGGTGCACGTCAAAGAATTATAAGAGAGCGATTTATTATTCATATGCTTAGGTTGCTCGAGATGAGGACTTGGTCAAACAAATTGGAGGGGATATATATTTTGACCTTGTGGACCATGACAAAGTTCGTAGTTTCACTATTAAGAAACAAACAGCCTTTAATCTTTTCAAGGTATAGCAGTATAGGTTCACTTTTATTTCTGTCTGCTTTATTCTTTTCCTCCTTTGAGGTTTGTGTATGATTTATGATTATTGAGGGCATCAGATTCTTCATTCAGTTATGTTATTACGAGAGTCTCTGATAAAGTAATGTTTTGCAGGGTCTGGTTGCACTATAGTTTGGCATACCAATGCAATTTCAGCAGTTTTGGATTTAGGCCAAGAGGCAAAACCACACATATCCCCCATTCGACCATTGACACCCGAGGAACAATTAGAATCAGTAATTACTTTACACTTTCTACTTTTTAAGTGCTTAATGAATGGACTTGTTGTAAGTCCAGATTTGAAATGCTTATGAGACTAGTAGTGTTGTGACGTGCTCATTGGTGTTCGTCAAAGTTTGATATAGGTTCCTTATGCATTCTAATCATGACCTTTTGTTTTGCAGGTCAAAAAATTGGAAGGTCTACCAAATAAAGAACACAAAAACTGCAAGCTAAAGTTATTTTTGGAAGTAGATCTTGGGCTGGTAATCCAATCTCACTCTATCATTGTTATGACCTGTCATTTTATGCTTAGTGCTGCTACACTTAATGTATGAAAGATCCTTTCTTATGATTTTATTGCTCCGATGACATGCTCCAGGACCAACGTCCTATTCCTCTGCCTGACAAAACCAAGGAATATATCCTGCTTTTCTTTAAGCTTTATGAACCTGAGAAACGAAAACTAAGGTACCTCTGGCTCTTTCTACTGTGCTAAATAGTTTTTCCTTTTGATTTGTTGCTTGCTGATTTAAGTTTCATTTCGTTACTAGTTTTGTTGGTAGGTTTTTTGTCAAGAGTTTAGCAAGCCAGTAGAGATTTTAGCAAAATAAAATCAACTTGCTGGTTTTGCCCCTAATGAAGAAATTGTGCTTTATGAGAGGTCTACTTCACATTCTTTTAGCAACAATTCTGTCATAACTAATTGTCATTACACTATTTACATATTTGTATAATTTGCATGCTTCGGTTCGGTGTAGCATTCTGGAGTAAAAGTTTTATCTGTCTGTGTACTATCAGGAAATGAAGTTTGATCCTTGAATCATGTGCGAGCATATTCACAAGCGGACGTCATTTCGTCTAAGTCAGATAACTGTTACAATAGGAATGAACTTTTGTGGCTTCTATGCATATTTTTCATTGGCTGTTATGCTTCGTTTTCCAGGTTGAAGATGAGGACATTATATGCTTTCAGAAATCTACTCCACTTGAAAGTGAATAGAATAATTGTTCTGATACACACATTTATAATCTTTGAATTGTACTGATATTTTTATCATAATTAAACTTGTGGTTGTGTGGTTTTGGTGTAGTGAGATATGAGGAGTGATGAGCTACATAAACTGTAGCGAGCTACATGAAGTAGTGAGATACATGAAGGAGCTATATGAAGGAGTGATAAAGGAGCTACATAGACTGTATGTACAAAAGGGAAGATGCCTTTATTCAAGTTTGTATTTTCGGAATTTGAGGACTTGTGTTATTATGTTCAAATACATACATTAGGTTTGTAATGAATGTATTGGCTTTACCACATTGATCTTATATATGTTTGTTTTTATTAATGATAATACAAAATATTCTTTAAACAATGCTCAGTGGAAATTTTACCAAAAAGCATATATTTCTTACCTCAATTTTCATTGGTTTATTAATTATTGTTTATAATTTAATTACAATAATTATAAAAAAAATAAATAAAAAATATTTTGTCAAAAAAAAAAAAAACGTTTTGCACGACGAAGGAGTAACCTGCGTCGCAGGTTACTTCTTCATTGCGCAAACCCTGTTGTCATTGACTTGGTGCGACGGTTGGCACGTGACGAAGTTTCGTTGCGCTAATTTTTGAGCAACATTTTTTTACTTTGCACGACGAAGGATCTGCATTGCGCAAAGTATTTTTTGTACTATATAAGTTGGAAACAATATCGATAATTCCACTATAATTACATTTAGGTCTTTTATATAAATCTCATATCTATTAAATTTAAACTGCACAAGTGGTTTACTTGGGGACAATATCTATGTTGTTTAGTAGTCGATCGTTGGACCATCTCTAAAACTTTAACATGGTATCAAAGCGGGCCGATCACTTGGGCATGCTTACCTGAATTCGGACTACGAACTGAAAAGCTTGAAGTCTCGAATTGGGACGCACAAATTGAGTCTCTGAAACCCAAATCAAACAAGTAGGGTTAGCAATGTGGAATTGATTCACGTGTGGCCCAATAGAGATTCGTTGCATGTGAGGGGATTGAAAAATATAAAGTCCTACATCGAAAATCTGAATGAATGGAATACAACTTATATTGAATGATTCTACTACTAATTACATTGTGGCCTTTTGCATTAAATTCTCTACCTATTGTACTTCAAAAGATAACTAAATTAAATGTTGAAGAATGCAATTCCACATTGGAAACCTGACAAAATATATTGCTACATATGAATGAATGGTTTCACTACTAGTAATACTGAGGCATTTTGTGATAAAATAACTCAATACATACTACGCTATATATATTGTTAAGATAATATCGTTAAGATAATATCGTTGTGATTAGTAGTTAACTGCATGTTGGACTCTAAAATTTTGACACTGAAGGCAAATTAGTATTCGCTGTACTGTTTCTGAAACTTTTGACAGCCACATAAAAATTAGGATCCCTTTCTTCTCTTTTTGTTACGCTAATGCTAGTTTTTTTTGTTTTTTTGTTGTTTTTGTTTTTCCGGTGTAAACTAGAATTATTTTTAAAATAAATGAAAATGTGAGACATCACTGGTGCATCTCTTGAGAACATGATTAACCTTAGTTCTTGTCATCTCGGATCGATTGACTCGCAAGAGAAAGTTTGCTCCGGTTGGCCACAGGTAGAGCCCGAGGCCAGTGTATCATTGTCAAATTTACATACATGCATGTAGGGCACGGTGGGCCCCAACCCTAGGCTATAGGGTGGGCTATTTACCCATTGAGAAGATAACTCCACATTCAAGGGAAATGATTCTCTCCGAGTCACTTCTAGCCAAATTCTTCAGATCCCGAAAATTGCTTGCAAGCCTTGCTGGTCTTTGAATCCCTTCTAGCCAAATGCTCTGGATCCCGAAAATTACCTGCAAACCTTGCCTCCAGCACAATCGCGAAGCCATTGCAACTTCCTCGAACATGTTCGCAAAGCCACGATCACAATCTTGCCTCAAACAGGACCGAAAGCCATTGATCCTGACTATGATCCCGACGGCACCATTATCTCCTCCACATCTGCGCCCCTCTCAATTCCTTCCGCCGTCAACACCATCACTATCTCGATGTGGACAATCCGATGGCGTCAAAACGTTTTCCTAACCGTTCAATTTTATTTTAAATGGCTAAGATTGAAGGATCCTCCGGATCCAGATAGAAGAGATCCGGAGAAGATTCTATTCCCCAATTCAGTATCATGGGGCTTTGAGGGCTTGCCAATCACATATCAAACTAATATTGTAAAATCATATTAATTAAATCCTAAGGGATATTATTGTGTTTCTATTTTCTTCCAGACCAGTTTTATACTGTATTCATTTATTTTTTTTCATTACAAATAAATGTCTTAATGATTTTAGATTTGTCTAATTTTTTCTTTAAGTAATATACTTAAATATAGACGGTTCATATCATTGAAATACATTATAAAATGGACCGTCTAAAATAAGTATTAATGTGTGTGTGTCTTCAAATTTTAACGGTGTCAATATATACCCTAAAGCGACCAGCCGGCAGAAGGTACAAATTAATATTTATTAGTCGGAAAAGTGGAGCTTCTTAAAGGTTAGCTTACAGCCAGCCAGGCTGTGTTTGCACTTGCACATCACAAACAGTAAGTACTTTATATCTGTCTATGGTGAAATCACAATGATTTGAGACAATTTCAAGCTTTGGCCGAAGATATGGAGAAAAACTTGGATATCTTATAGCAATAGCAATGTTTACAACTCTTATCATGTGACCTCAAAGTACCGTATACACAATTGTTCTATATAATCATATCGTTGTAAGTATTCTTGGCAATCCTAGGGCTATCTCCCCCATTTCCTTATCTCATATTACGTAAGTTCATGTGATGTCAGGGATAGGAAGATCGAGTTGTATGCTAAAACAAGGTTCTAAAAAATGTTAGGCACTAGTCGGGCGGTGGGTTAGCGCCTAGCGCCTAGGCGGCTAGGCGGGGTCTAGGCGGATTTAGGTAAATTTTTTGTATATCTTGTAAATAAATGCATATTGACACTTACAAAAAATTATACTTGTGAAATCTATAAATAAGATAATAAAAGAATGATAAAATATAAAAAGAGTATTCAACAAGTTCAAAATTAAAAAATACATTAAGCACATATACCATATAACTTAAGATATTTTGAATGATTGTATCTAATTTAAAAAAAATAAAAGTATAAATCCCATGTAGTGGGTTAGGTGGTTCGTTATAAAGAAAAAATTATGAAAAAGTGCATGCATCCTTCCCCATTTCATAAAGCACCACGTGTGTGGTGTGAACCCTCCCTTCCACCTCTAGTCCCCATGCATCCCTTACAATTCAAATCAGCCAGGAGAGTCAGAGACTCCCAACACCATTTTGATGCCTTGAGACTCCCAACCATTTTGAAAACTGGTACTTTATTCTTTTTTATTCTTCCTTTTCCTAATCGTCTTCGTCTTCTTTCCCTTTCCTCTTCTTCTTCTTCTTCTTCTTCTTCTTCTTCATTTTTTTTTTCCGTTTTCCTTCTGTAAATTCTCCTTTTTTTTTGTTTCCTCTTCTTCTATTTCGGTGTAAGTTCCTCTTTTTTGATGGATTTCAGATAGAGGGAGTCGCGACATCTAAGAAAGTCATGGTGCACAGAGAGAGGGAGTCAAAGTGGCGAGAAAGCTTTTGCGATTCTGGGTATTTGGTTGGATTTCTTCCCATGAAACCATTTCACTCCGCCTAAACCGTCGCCTAGACAGCCGCCTAGACCGCCCATGCCGCCTAAGAGCGCCTAGGTGGGCGCCTAATAGCTCCCCGATTTTTCTTAACAATTCGGACCTAATCGGATCGGCACAACCACGCCCAGCACCTAAGCACTGCCTAGGCCATTTTTTAGAACACTGCGGAGAATCGGGTTGTGCGCCTGGAAATGTTTGATTTTGTAACTTGACAAGAAAATTTGGTAATATTAGATCATCTTTTGGGGTCTGTTTTATAAAGCTACATGTCAGTTATGCTCCGGATTTTATGCAAAGATTTAACTGTTTTTTTTTAAGATAAATTACACAAAATTATCTCAATTTTAGGTCAATCACAGTTTCAGACCCCATCTTTAAAACATTTCAATATCATAATTTGTTTTCAAATTTGTTGCAATGTCATACATTCCATCAATTTGTCTATTAAATGTTGACTTGACTTGAGACGGGCCACTTCCTATTAAAAAATTAATTAAATATTAAAAATAAAACTTTTTAAATATTTTTATAAAAACCACCATACCCAATCCTTCAACGTCCTCCACCCGCTCAAAACCACCATACCCAATTCCCCTCCGCCGCCTCGCACCGTCTTCGACCCACCTCCACTTTCGCCATCTCCGTCGTCGTCAACAAGCAAGAAACGTTCACAGAGGATTTCGAAGAAGAATCCCCGAAACCCACCTTCAATTTCAAATCCAGAGGCTATTAACCAGGCTTGGACCATGTCGTCTGTCTCCCTCCGTGACCCGATTACGATCCACGAGCGACGCGATATTCCCTTATTGCCGGCGGCAAGTGGGTCCGACCCGTTTTCATCTCGTTGTCGATGACAGCGGCGATGTAGAACCTAGATTGGAGTTCGGGTATAGAATTGAACTGGGCTTCGAAGAGGTCCCAGCAGAGGGGAATGTTGGTGGAGAGCTTCCTAGAGCCGTGCTTCTTCAAGAAGAGAAAGGACTTGGGTGGAGGTGGAAGGAAGGGGAGGAGAGCAACGGAGGGAGGACGTAGAAGGATTGTGTAGGGTGGTTTTGAGGGGAAATGGGTATGGTGGTTTTTTTATAAAAATATTTAAAAAGTTTTATTTTTAATATTTAATTATTTTTTTAATAGGAAGTGGGCCCCGTCTCAAGCCAAGTTAGCATTTAACGAAGGAATTGACAGAAGAATTGAAGGAAGGTATGACATTGCAACAAATTCAAAGATAAGATATAATATTGAAATGTTTTAAAGATGAGGTATAAAACTGTGGTTGATCTAATAGTTAAGGTAATTTTATGTAATTTACCATTCATGAGATCTTTATATGTAAAATCCAACTGTTGATTTTTTTAAACCCCTCAATAACATGTACCATGAAAGAAAAATTGTACCTTTCGACTGCACTTAAGTGATGGTTGTGATATATGGAAAGGGATCCTCTCTGGATCCCTTCCATCAAATCTACCAAGTTCGGAAATCTATACTATTGAAATTTGATCCAACGGCTAAAGTTATTATAACTTTTAAAAGTGAGCTCCTGTTTGTAACTGTCGGATCAAATTTCAATGTCATAGATCTCTGAACTTGGTGGATTTGGTATAAGAGATCAAATTTCAAATTTTCATGAAATAT